AATGAGCAGCCAGATAACATTAAGGAATTATCAAGGGCAAATCAAGTATTTTTGATGACGCTGTATGGAAATAGTGTGAGACACTTTCTGAGCCATGTTTGCCACGGGTTGGTGTAATTTATTTTTACCTAAATATATGAGAAGATACATTTACATGCATTATGAGATGAGTTTCCTCTGTATCAAGTTTATCAGTCTTTAAGTCATATCCAACCCTTTGTGACCCCATGACCTGCAGCACAGCAGGCTTCCCTGTCCTCCATTGTCCGCCAGAGTTTGCTCAGACTCACGTCCTCTGAATCTGCCCCTCATCCTCTGCTGCCCCTTCTTCTTCTGCCCTCAGTCTTTCCCAGATTCAGCATCTTTTCCAACGAATCAGCTCTTTGTATCAGGTGGCCAAAATATTGGAGCTTCAGCTTTAGCATTAGTCCTTCCAATTTGTATTCAAGGTTGATTTCCTTTAGGATTGACTGGTTTGATCTTCTTGCTGTCTGAGGGACTTTCAAGAGTCCTCTCCAGCATCACAATTTGAAGGCATCAATTCTTCAGAATGCAGTCTTCTTTATGGTCCAATTCTCACATCCATACATGACTACTGGAAAAACCATAGCTTTGACCGTACTGACCTTTGTTGGCAAGGTGATATCTTTGCTTTTTATTTTATATATTTATTTTATATCTTTGCTTTTTAATATGTTGTCATGGGTTTTCCTGGTAGTTCAGCTGATAAAGAATCTGCCTGTAATGCAGGAGAACCCAGTTCGATCCCTAAGTTGGGAAGATCCCCTGGAGGAGGGCATGGCAACCCATTCCAGGATTCTTGCTTGGAGAATCCCCATGGACAGAGGAGCTTGGTAGGCTACAGTCCATGGGGTCACAAACAGTCAGACACGACTGAGCAACTAAGTACAGCAGGTTTGTCACAGCTTTCCTTCCAAGGGGCAAGCATCTTTTAATCTCATGGCTGCAGTCACCATCCACAGTGATTTTGGAACTCAAGGAAACAAAATCTGTCGCTGCTTTCACTTTCCCCCCAGTTATTTGCCATGAAGTGATGGGGCCAGATGTCGTGATCTTAGTTTTTTGAATGTTGAGTTTTAAGCCAGCCTTTTCACTCTGCTTGAGGGTGAACCCCTCAAGAGGCTGTATCAAGTTAAGTTAGCAAAATATTAAAGAAAACAAATGACATAACAAAACCTTTTTACCATGGTTCAAAAAAGGCCATAAATTAATTTCCAGCTAAAAAATCAAAATTACAAATGCATGTAGATTTAATTTGTAATCAAAAGACACATGTGGCTTCAAAATATTTGAAACAGTTCTTATGCAATGAAAAAAATGGGTATCGATATAAATCATAACTGATAAAAGCTCATCAATGAAATGATCTCATATATCATAATTAAACATGAAAAAAGACAATGAAATGTACAAACAGTCCATTTCTGTGGGAAATAATGGGGTTAACAAAACTATAACAATTACTTTTGAAAAAATATATAATTATCATTAAAAAAGTATATTTTCAACTATGAAAACCCTTAAATTCAGAAAATAACAAGGAAAAAGCAACTATGCTTAGTAAAAAAATTCCTAAAAATATTTCTAATGAATATCAAAAATATTATAGAGTTAATATTCACAAAATATTAATGTTAAACATTTTATACAAATAAGCATGTTAAAGAAAGAGGAAAACACATGAAAATAAAAAAAATGCCTGAAAATAAAAGCATGTTAGCTCCTATTAACTCTCCTGTTGAAGAGAGATGATAGCTTAAAAATCATGTTCAATAGTGTAGTGAGGCCCAGTGGAGGTGGCAGTCCAGGGGCAAGAGGTCAAGTGTGATTCTGTCCCTTTCATAGCCCTGGGATTTGGGTGTGGAGGCACCCAATCCCTCAAGGAAAGCCCTTGAGACTCCACTTTTTCTAGGGGCTTCCACATGGCCAAGGTGTGGTCCTGCCTTCAGCTTTCTTTCCTGATCACTACTTCCACCAACCACCCAGAGACCATAGATGGAGCCATTCCTTAACTCCTTCAGATTGTTCCTTTCCATAAGATATTCTGGTGAGAGTCTGGCCAGAGACCAAATGAATACTTTTCAAAATTAATTAGAAACATTTTTAGAGGTATTTTTACTAAGTATAGTTGTTTGTTTCTTGTTTATTTTTTCAATTTAGGATTGTCATAGTTGTGTGTTTTTTTTTTAAGTCTTGTTAAATACAGGTTTTTTGTGTGATCATTATATACTCTTTCAGAACATTGACATGAATAAGCCATGGGTGCACATACATGTGTCCCCCCTCCTGAACCCCCCTCCCACCTCCCTCCCCATCCCATCGCTCAGGGTCATCCCAGTGCACCATCTCTGAGCACCCTGTCTCATGCATCGAACCTGGACTGGTGATCTATTTCACATATGATAATATACATGTTTCAATGCTATTCTCTCAAATCATCCCACCCTCACCTTCTCCCACAGAGTCCAAAAGTCTGTTCTTTATATCTGTGTCTTTCAATTCTGGTTTCCTCAGCGTGTATGCCCAGCAGTGGGATTGCTGGGTCATATGGCAGTTCTATTTCCAGTTTTTTAAGGAGTCTCCACACTGTTCTCCATAGTGGCTGTACTAGTTTGCATTCCCACCAACAGCATAAGAGGGTTCCCTTTTCTCCACACCCTCTCCAGCATTTATTGTTTGTAGGCTTTTTAACAGCAGCCATTATCAGGGCTTCCCTGATAGCTCAGTTGGTAAAGAATCTGCCTGCAGGAGACACGGGTTTGATTCCTGGTTTGGGAAGATCCCCTGGAGAAGGAAATGGCAACCCACTCCAGTATTCCTGCCTGGAAGTCCCCATAGATGAAGCAAAATGGTGGGCTACAGTCCACAGAGTCCCAAAGAGTCAGGCACGATTAAATGACTTCACTTTCACTTTCACTTTCATTCTGACCAAAAATGGCCAGGACCTTGCCATTCTGACTTGAATGATTTGAGGTCAGTGGTTGTCTTTGGTTCTGGACACCAGACAGAGAAGATATTGGACTATGGGGGAAGACCACCTCAATGCAGTCCAGAAGGGGGAGTCCTTTCAGGAACCTCAGTCTTCACAAAGGAAGGAATCTGGCCGCCACACCATCTTGCTAGTCTCCAAGCCCTTGGCCCTGAAAAGCCTTTCCTGAGAACTGAATTCTAGTCAGATAGTATGTGGAGGCAATGTTTGCTTCCCTGCACCCTGGGGAACATTCTCACACGCATGTCTCTATACATCTCCACATGGCACGCACTGAGCTACTGAGGGAACAGTCTCCTGGTGTGTGCTTTTCAGTCTCCCAAGAACCATTGGTAGGAAAATATCATGCCCCTGGCCTGGTGACAGCGAGAGGCAGGCGGAAACCTGTCAACCAGGTCTTGGCAGGTAGATGTTGTTGGCTGTTGAGAGAGCTGAAGTGTGGCCCCTGAGTTTCCATGGGGCTTGGCCAGGTCACTTTCAGGCATGCCAGTGTCTGGGTGACACCAGTGGTTCCTGATGGGCTGTTTGATGGACTTTGCTTTGATCGCCCACTGGAGCCCCTTGTTTCTGCTGGGGCATTCTTCCTCTCCAGGAGCCACAATCTTCAATGACAGCAGCCCCAGAGGAGAAACCCCTTCCAAGCACTCCTTCCTAGAAAGAAAGTTGAGAGCCCATAGGAGCCCCGGTATCATCTCCATAGTGAGGCCCTAATTGCCTGAAGTAGAGGGGAGGCCCCATGACGTGGGCCAAGCAGGGAGTATTGCATTGATTTGTTTGGTGTCCATGGGCAGGCATAGGAACAGACACCCCACCAGCTGACAATCGCTCTTGTCCCTGGTATGAACATTTCTATGCAGGGTGTTCGTTGTCCTCTGAGATCCCATGGGGTTAGGCCAGGTCACTTTGGGGCATGGTAGGGTCTCTGTAAGGCCAGCTACTCCTGATGGGCCCTTTGCTGAGTTTTGTTTCATTTGTACTCAGGCACCATGCGCCTCCTGGGGGCCACAGCCTTTAACAATAGCACCTCCAGAAGAGAAACCCCTTTCAAGCTTACTTCCTAGTGAGGCTGTTGAGCTCTCTTTGCAGCCTATATTAACTTCATCATGAGGCACTGTTCACCTGAAGTAGAGGGGTGGTCCCATGACATGGGCCGAACAAGGAGTAGTTGCCTTCTTGTTGTTTGGAGGCCTTCAGAAGGCCATGGAGCGGATGCCCCATCAGGCAATGATGGCTCTTGTTTCCAGCCTGAATGTTCCCTTGCAGGGCATTGCCAGGTTGACTCATGATGAGCCCATGGGCCTGGCCACAGATACATGCTTCCTCGACCATCCATTGCATGGAACTTCTTGACCTCTTTTTTTGTGTGATTGCAGCAAGTGGCCAAATTTAATGTTCCCTCAGCCACCCCTTGCTAGCACAGACCCAGGCTGAGCTTGGAGGAGCATCTCCATTCCCCAAGACATGCCCACAGAATCTTGGCAGCTGAGAGGTCCTTGTCCTGGGTCTTCCATCAGGTGGAGAGCCTATGAGGCTTTGTCTTCTCTCGGGACTCTTTCTTGGAGTCACCATGTCTATCTCCCTGGATGTATTGTTATTCATATTCTCACTCAAATATTGATCCATTCGTCCACTTGTTTCTTCATGCTTGTCAGTATGTATGGTGGGAGGGAAAGATGGAGAAAAGTGAGGAGGTAGGGATGTAGCGAAGAGGATGGGAGATCGGAACTTAGAGAGGTAGGGAGGAAGGTCTGTGGTAGATGAGCATTTCAGCCAGGGATTTGTGTCTCTGCATATAGGTGCATTTCGTTGCTTTCTTGTGTTCCTGGACTTGTTGCTCTAGGTATGTCTTGTAGCAACTTTTGCTACATCGAAGTGTAGCACACATGACCACCAAAGCCTACAGGGACAGACTAGGAGCTCTCACAGGAGTCTTTCTGCTCTCTAGACAGACAACATCTGGAAAGGAAGGATTATCTGAGTGTGGCCTGCTGCTCCTGGTGCAATTGATATCAGCCTTGGTGCTGCAGCTGGGTAGACAGAAACTCAGGTCCTTTACAGCTTCCTTATTTCCAGAAAGCTTTGGAGGTAAGACTACTTAGGTTCCTGTCCATAGATGCACTTCATGGGGCATGCCTCACTTGGGTTGATGAGAAGAATTCATATGGTTCTGAAGAGAGATGATCACTTAAAAATCATGTTCAATAGAAGTATGCTGAGGCCCATTGGAGGTTGCAGCCCAGAAACTAGAGGTCGGGGACCTTTCTTTTTTCTCTGAAACCCTGGGATTTCGGTGTGGAGGCACCTGACCCCTCGAGGAGAGTCCTTGAGCCTCTACAATATCTAATGGCTTCCAGAGGGCAAAAGCCTGGTCCTGCCTCTAATGATCCCAACTCTCACAGCCCACCAGGAAGTTATGAGGTGGGGTCTTTCCATAGTTCCTTCTCTTCAAATTGTTTCTTTTAGTCAGATGTTCTGTAGAGATTCTTGCCACATGCTAAATAACTTGAGGTGAGTGGCTCTCTTTAGTCCTGCACATGGGCCCCAGAGGGAGGTGGACCTTGGGGGAGGCACTCCTTTAGGCAGTCCAGAGGTGGGAGTCCTTTTGGGAAGTCATCACCACAGTGGAACTTATGCTGCAGTGGCATTTCCAGGGGCTAGGAACTCCGGTACTGAAAAACCTGTCACTAAACCTGAATTCTAATTAGATTAGACATGGAGGCAATGTTTGCATCCCTGGCCAGCTGGGGTCATCCACACAAAGGTCTCTGCACACCTCCATGCAGAGCATGCTGATTGACTGAGAGAATGGTCAGCTGTGGTTGTTCTTTTCAGTCTCCCAAGAACCATCAGCAGAGAAAGATGGTGCCCCAGGACCAGTGATGGTGAGAGGCAGGCAGGAACCAACCTGCTGGGTCTTGGCAGGTAGACCCTGCTGGCTATTAAGAGAGCTGAAGGTCAGCCCATGAGATTTCATGGTGCATGGCCAGGTCATTTTCAGGCATGGTGAGTTCTCGATGTGGCCACTTGTTCCTGATGAGCCCTATGATGGGTTTTGTTTCATTCATTCCATGGCTCGGGCCCGACACATGTGTTTCATGTGGCGTTCTTCCTCTCTGGGGGCTGTGGCCGCCAATGATAGCACCTTCTAAAGAAGTCCCTACTATGCTTACTTTCATAATAAGGTTGTTGAGAACCTTTCAGGGTCACAGTATCACCTCCATCAAGAGGCACCATTTGCCCGAAGTAGAGGGTCAGTCCCATGATATAGACCAAGCAAGAACTAGATGCATTGTGGCTGTTTGAGGGCCTTGTGCAAGCTATGAGAGGGAATGCTGAACCAGCCAGCAATGGCTCCTGTCCCCATCCTGAAGGTTCCCATGCAGGGCACTGACATGTTAACTGGTGCTGAGTCGTCAGGTCCCATCTCCAAATATCTGCATCCTGGAGCACCTCTTCTGAGGGATTTCATGACCTTGTTTTCTGCATGTTTGCAGTAAGTGGCCAGGCCCATGTCCCCTCCATGATCCTTGCTTGTGAAGACCAGTTTCAAACATGGAGGAAGTCTCCATTCCCAAAACAGATCCATAGATTCTTGGAGGTTGAGAGGTCCTTGTGCCAGGCCTCTGCTTGGTGGAAAGTCCATGAGGCTCTGCCTTCTGTTGGAATTCCTCTTTGAATATGCCATTTCTGGCTGCTTGTACACGTTATTCTTATATTCACTCATGCCTTGACCACTTGTCCACTAATTCCCTCATGTTTGGCAGTAAGTATGGTGGGAAGGAAGGAGTGTTTGAAAAAAGTAAAGAGGTAAGGAACTAGAGAGGTAGAGACCTAGTAGGGAGGAAGGTTGGTGGTAGTTATACATTTCAGCCAGGGATTTTTATCTCTGCATATAAGTGTATTTAGTTGCTTTCTAATGTTCCTGAATGTGTCTCTATAGTTATGTCTTACAGCGTCATTCACTGCATGAAGGTGCAGCATGCATGACCACCAAAGCCTTCAAGGATGGAGTAGGTGTTCTCATAGCTGTTGTTCTCCTTCTAGACAGACAACACCCCCAGAGGAAGGCAGATCTGAGCGTGGCCTGCTGCCCCTAGGGCAATCGATATCAGCCTTAATCCAGCCTTCAGTGTGGACAGAAACTCACATCCTCTGGGGCATCCTCCTTTCCAGAAAACGTCAGAAGTAAGCCTACTCAGGTGCCTGTGCATGCATGCAATGCGTGGGGGCATGCCTTGTTGGGGTCAATGATGAGAACTCATATGGTCCTAAGGAGAGATGGTGATCTAAAATCATGCTCAACAGGATTATGGTGAGGCTCAATGGAAGTGACATTACAGGGCCCAGAGGTTGTGGTTTCTTCTGTCCTTTCTGGAGCCCTGGGATTTGAGTGTGGAGGCACCCTATCCCTGAGTCTCTACAGTGCCTGGGAGCTTCCATGTGACCAAAGCCTGTCCTGCCCTCGGCTTTCTTTCCTTATCCCTGCTTCCACCACCCAACCAGAGGATATAGCCAGGACCTTTCCTTAGCTACTTCTCTTCAAATTATGTCTTTCAGTCAGACATTCTGAAGAAGGCCTCACTGTGACCTGAACAATTCGAGGTGAGTGACTCTCTTTGGTCCTTAACATGGGCCCCAGAGGACAATGGGCTATGGAGTAGGCCCACCTCAAGGCAGTCAAGAGTGGGGAGTTGTTTGTGGTCCACAGGCCTCTCAAAGGAGAACTTCTGCTGCAGTGCCTTCAAGACCATCTATGATCTTGGAGACTGAAATGCTTTCTGTTGGTCCTACATTCTAATCAGATTGATCATGGAGGCAGTGATTGCTTCCTGGATCCCTGAGGAATATCCACACACAGGTCTCTGCACACTTTCATACAGAGCTTGCTGAACAACTAAGGGGATGGTCACCTGTTTGTGTGCTTTGCAGTCTCTGAAAAACAAGCAGGTAGAGAAAGATTATGCCCTAGACCTGGCAATGGTGAGAGGCAGGAACCTGTCCAGTGGGTCTTGGAAGTTAGACAGTGCTGACTGTTAAGAGAGCTAAAGAGCAGCCCCTGAGATTCCATGGGGTGTGGCTAATTAACTTTCAGGTATGGCAGGGTCTTGTGAGACCACTTGTTCCTGATCGGCCATTTGATGGGTTTTTCATTTTTCCATTTGGGCCCCAGGCATTTCTTGAAGCATTCTCCCTCTCTGGGGGGCATGGCCTTCAATGATCACACCCCCAGAGAAGAAACCTTTTTGGAGCTTAACTTTCTAGTAAGGCTTTTGTAAGCCCTCCAGAGCCCTGGTAGCATCTCCATTATGAGGCTATATTTGCCTGAAGTAGAACAATGGCCTCAAGATGTGGTCAATCCAGGAACAGTTGCATTGTTTTTGTCTGGGGCCTTCAGCAGGCCATGAGAGAAGACATGCACCAGGGGATGAGGCCTCCTGTTCCCAGCCTGAACGTTCCCATGCAGGGCATTGCCAGGTTGACTGGTTCTGAGCCTATGTGCCCTGTCACCAGATACCTGCTTCCTCAAGAATCCATTCTGTGGGACTTTGTGGACTCGTTTTCTGTGTGTTGGCTGCAAGTGGCCTAGCCCCATGTCTTCAATTCCACCCCTTGCTTGCACAGATCAAGATCGAGCTGAGAGGTACATCTGTTTTCCAAGACACATCTATAGAATTTTAGTGACTGACAGGCCCTTGTGCTGGGCCTTCTTCTGGGTATAGAGCCCATGAGGCTCTCCCTTCTCTTGGGGCACCTTTGTGGAGTTGCCATTTTTTCCTTTCTGGACACGTTACTTATGTATTCACTCAAGCACTGATCCGCTAGTCACTTGTTTCCTCAGGTTTGGCAGTAGGTATATTGGGAGATAAGGATGGATGAAGAAAAGTAAGGAGGTAGATAACTACAGATAGGGACATAGAAAGTTAGAGAGGTAGCAAGGAAGGTCAGTGGTAGGAGTACGTTTTACCCAGGGGTTTGTGTTGCTGTGTATAGATAGATGCATTTTGTTGCTTTCTTGGGTTCTTGGATTTATCACTCTAGATCTGTCTTGTAGCATCACTCACTGCATGAAGGTGTAGCACACATGACTACAAATCCTACAGGGCCAAACTAGATGTTGGCAAAGCTGCTGTGCTCCTCTCTACTCAGACAGTGCTCCAAAGGAAGGAAGATCTGGCTCGTACCTGTTGCCTCCAGGGCCTTCAATGTCAGCCTTGGTGCAGCACCTTGGGTAAACAGAAACTCACATGCTTTGGGGCTCCATCATTTCCAGAATGCATTGAAGGCAAGCCTGCTCAGACTCTTGGCATAGATGCAATGCGTGGAGCTTGCCTTGTTTGGGTTAATGATGAGAAGTCATATGGTCCTAAGGAGAGAAAAATGACATAAAAATTATGCTTAATAGGATTGTGCTGAGCTGAATGGAAGTGGCAGTCCAAGGGCAAAAGGTCCTGGTTCCTTCTGTCCCTTTTGGTGCATTAGAGTGTGGGTGTGGAGGTAACTGATCCCACAAGGAGAGCCCCTGTGTCTCTACTGTGTCTAGGGTCTTTTACATAGGCTAATTCTAGTCCTGCCTTTGACTTTCTTTGCTGATCCCTACTCCCACTGCCTACCTGGAGGCCGTAGTCAATGCCTTTCCTTAGCTCCTTCTCTTTGAATCTTGTCTTTCAGTAAGATGTTCTGGTGAGAGTCTCACCACAGCCTGGATGATTCAAAGTGAATGGTTCCCCTTTTGCCTGGACATGAGTACCAGAGGATGAAGAACTATGAGGGAGGCATGCCTCAAGGCAGTCCAAAGGGAGGAGTCCTTGCAGGAACCTCAGTCATCACAAAGGGTGAACTTATTCTACAGTGCCATCTAGACAGACTAGGATCTCAGACATTAAAAGGTCTTTCCTTAAACCTGAATTCTAGTCAGACTGGATATCAAGACAGTGTTTGCTTCCCTGGTCCCCTGGGGAACATCCACACAAATGTCTCTGCAAACTTCCATGCAGAGCACATCGATCACCTGAGGGGATGGTCTCCTATGGTGTGTGCGTTCCAGTGTCCCAAGAATGGTTGGTGGAGAAGGATTGTGCCCCAAGCCTGGCAATGGTGGTAAGCAGGTAGTAACTGGTCCACTGGGTCTTGGCAAGTGGACGCTGTTGCTGTTGAGAGAGCTGAAGGGCAGCCCCATGGGGCTTGGCCAGATCACTTTCAGGCATAGTGAGCTCTCAGTGTGGCCATTTGTTCCTGATGGGCCCTTTGATGTGTTTGTTTTGTTCACCCACTCGGGCACCTTGCATCTCCTGGGGTACTCTTCCACTCTGGGGCCACAGCCTTCAAAGATAGCAACCCCCCCCCCCCAGAAGAGAAACCCCTTCCGAGTATACCTTTTTGGTAAGGCTGTTGAGAGCCCTTTGGAGCCACTGTATCAGCCCCAGCATGAGGCCCCATTTTCCTGAAGGAGAGCTGTGACACCGTGACGAGGGTCAAGCGAGGAGTAGCTGCATTGGTGTTGTTTGGGGCTTTGGTGGGACACAGGAGGGGATGCGACTCCAGGCAACAGTGGCTCCTGCTCCAGCCTGAGCATTCCCATGCTGGGTGTTGCCAGAGTGACTAGTGCTGGGTCTATGTGCCCTGTCACCAGATAGCTGCTTCCTTCAGAATCAATTCTATGGGATGTCGTGGCCTCATTCTCTGTGTGTTGGCAGCAAGTGACCAGGCCCAGTGTCTCCTCAGCCACCCCTTGCTTGAACAGACAGGAATTGAGCTTGGAGAAATGTTTCCATTCCACAAGACAGATCTGTAGAATCTTGGCAGCCAAGAGGTTCTGTAAGGTGAAGAATCCATGAGGGTCTGCCTTCTCTGGTTTCCTTTATGGAATTACCATTTCTTCCCTCCTGGTCACATTATTCATGCACTCAGTCATGCACTTATCTGCTCATTCACTCATTTTCTGATGTTTGGCCATAGGTAGGGCAGGAGGGAATGGTGAATAAAAGTAAGGAGGTGGGGAGGTAGAGAACTAGAGAGGTAGGGAGGAAGATCGATGGCAATCATGCATTTCAGCCAGGGGTTTGTGTCTCTGTATGTAAGTGCATTTTGTCACTTTCTTGGGCTCCTGTATGTCTTGTTCTAGGTATGTCTTGTACATTATTCACTGCATGAAGATGTAGCGCATGTGACCATCGAAGCTTATAAGAAATAACAAGGAGTTCTCACAGGTATCTTTTTGCTCTATAGACAGACAACATCCCCAGAGGAAGGAAGATCTGAGTGTGGCTTGCTACCCCTGGGAAATAAATGTCAGCCTTGGTGCAGCACCTGGGGTAGCCAAAAACTCACAACCTTTCGGACATACTCATTTCCAGAAAGCTTCAGAGGTAAGCCTACTCAGGTGCCTGAGCCTGAATGCGATATGAGGGAAGTGCCTCAGTTGTGTCAATGTTTAGAATTCATTTGGTCCTGAGGAAAGATGATGGCCTAAAAATCATGCTCAAAAAGATTATGCTGAAACCCAATGGACATGTCCGTGCAGAAGCAGGAGGTCTCTCTGTCCCTTCTGGAACCCTGGGATTTGGCTGTGGAGGCCCCATACCCCACAGAGAGTGCACTTAAGTACTCTCGACATTGTCTCGGGGCTTCCATGTGGCCAAGGACTGGCCCAGCCTTTGGCTTTTTTTCCTAATCCCTGCTTTTACCACTCACCTGGAGGACATACACTGGGCCTTTCCTTAGCACCTTCTTTCTGAATTGTGTCTTTCAATCAGACATTCTGGCGAGGATCTTGCCACGGCCTGAATGATTCAAGGTTAATGGCTCTCTTTTGTTCTCAACACAGGCCCCAAAGGAAGATGAATTATGGGGGAGGTGAGCATCAAGGTAGTTGAGAGAGGGGCGTCCTTGCGGGAACCTCAGTTCTCACAAAAGGGGAACTACTGCTGTGGCACCATCACAACAGGCTAGGAACCCAGGCACTGAAAAGCCTTTCATTAAACCTGAATTCTTGTCATATTGTACACGGAGGCCATGTTTGCTTCCCTTGCCCTCTGGGGAACATCCATCCACACACAGGTCTCTGCACATCTTTGTCCAGAGCACACTGATCTACTGAGGGGATGGCCACCTGTGGTGTGTCCTTTTCAGTTTCCCAGTAATTTTTTGTAGGGAAGGATCCTGCCTCAGGCCTGGCAATGATGAGAGGCAGGCATGAACCTGTCTAGGCAGGTAGACACTGCTGGCTGTTGAGAAAGCTGAAGGGTGGCCCCTGAGACTCCATGGTGCTTGGCCAGGTCATTTTCAGGATGGCAAGTTCTCATGAGACCAATTGTTCTGATGGGCCCTTTGACATGTTTTGCCCTGTTTGTCCACTCAGGCCCCTTGAATCTCCTGCAGCATTCTTCCTCTCTGGTGGCCATAGCCTTCAATGATAGCAACCCCAGAGGAGAAACCCTTCCAAACTTACCTTCCTAGTAAGGCTGCTGAGAGCCCTTCGGAGCCCTGGTATCATGTTCATCGTGAGGCCCCATTTGCCTGAAGTAGAGGAGTGGCTTCATGATGTGAACCCAACAGGGAGTAGTTGCATTGTTGTTGTTGCAGGACCTTTGCAAGCCATTGGAGGTGAGGCTGCACCAGATAACAATGTCTCCTGTCCCCAGCCTGAATGCTCCTGTGTAGGGCATTGCCAGGTTGACTGGTGCTGAGCCCACGGGCCCCAAATCCAGATATCTGCTTCCTTGAGCATCATTTCTTGCTTGTTGCTTCATTTTTCCTTCAGGTCATTGGAGAGGACACTGCAGCAGACAATGATGGCTCTTTTGCACAGCCTGAATATTCCCATGCAGGGCATTGCAAGGTTGACTGGTGCTGAGCCCACGGGCCCCAAATCCAGATATCTGCTTCCTTGAGCATCATTTCTTGCTTGTTGCTTCATTTTTCCGTATGTTGGTGCCAAGCAGCCAAGCTCCATGTCTTTTCACCCACTCCTTGCTTGAAAAGGGCCAGACAATGCCAGAGAGGAAGGAAGATCTGAGTGTGGCCTGCTGTCCCCAGACCAATCGAAGTATCTTGGTCTGGAATCTGGGGTAGGCAGACTCTCATCCTGTGGGACATACTCATTTCCAGAAACCCTCAGAGATAAGCCTACTCAAGTCCCTGTGCATAGATGCAAAGAGTGGGAAGTGCATTGTTTGACTTGATGAATAGAATGCATATGGTCCTGAAGAGAGATGATGACCCAAAAGTCATGCTCAGTACAACTACACTGAGGCCCAATGGACACAGTAGTCCAGGGGCAGGATGTCAGGGATCTTTCTGTCCCTTCTGGAGCCCTGGGATTTGACTGCCGAGGTACCCTATCCCTCAAGGAAAGCCCCTCTGTCTCTACAGTGCCTAAGGGCTTCCATGTGGCCAAGGCCTGGTCCTGCCTTTGGCTTTCTTTCCTGTCCCCTACCTCTAGTGTTTTGTCAAGAGAATGCACTGTTCATAGCAAACACCCTCTTCCAATAACACAAGAGAATACTCTACACATGGACATCACCAGATGGTCAATACTGAAATCAGATTGATTATATTCTTTGCAGCCAAAGATGGAGAAGTTCTATACAGTCAGCAAAAACAAGACCAGGAGCTGACTGTGGCTCAGATCATGAATTCCTTATTGCCAAATTCAGACCTAAATTGAAGAAAGTAGGGAAAACCACTTGAACACTCAGGTATGACCTAAATCAAATTCCTTAAAATTATTCAGTGGAAGTGAAAAATAGATTTAAGG